TGGGGAGCTTGTTCTTGGAGTAATTTGTTCCATTTCTTCTTTTTATGTAGGATGAATGCTGTAGAAAGTTTTTCGTAGTCTCTTTGTATCCGCTGTATATTGTCAGGGAACATGCACGGATTTCTATCTTTTAAGTTGTTGTAGTGTATGACGATTTCCTTCCTGAGTTGGTCTCTTTTGGAGTAGAGTAGGTGAAGTAGATGATTTCTAATTTTCTCTGAAGTTCTTCTGCATAGCTGTGCAGCATATTTGGAGTTGTGTGTAGTAGTCAGGGGATTGTAGATGTTTAGTCCTCGGGGAATGAAGTTGTGTTTCTTGCAAAGGCTTAGAAAATATATGTCGCTGTTGAGTCTGGCTTCTTTCTTTTTCATGTTGTACAGTTTCCATTTCAGACGGCTGAATTCAATATCTTCCATGTTGCAGGGGTTTAGGTTGTAGCCGTGTTGGTCTAAGGATATAGGCAGACAAGGTTCCTTAGCTGCTTCTTAGAACTTGTCTACCCATCTTCATTGTGTGATTTCAGGGCAAGACTGATTTGAATCCTCTCGTCAGCCAGATTCCTCATCCCAGACCATCTGATATACATTTATTACCACCCCCACCACCCGATTTCTGAAGCTCTACCTAGCTAAGAAGTATGTCTAGTGTTCCTGGAAAGTGTAGTACAAAGCTATTTACAGTGGCTAGGAATGTCATCATAAAGTCAATACTGAAATTGATCTAACATAATTAAAGGAAGGCTAACTGTACTCATTGTCAATGTAAAGTCCTAAGGTGGCATGTCAAGTAGTAGCCTTGCCTCAGTTTACTAACTGCCAGATGATTTAACAAAACTGCATGCTCTTTTCATAGGGCACCTATGAAAGCTGAAAACAGCATGGGATATTCACCCTAGTAGAGGGGAACTGGTAAAGGTAAACAGAGGCCTCCTGGCAGCAATATACATAGTCAAAATGTCTGATTATAATGTTAGGTGGCCAGTCAGGAAACACCAGAAAGAAAAGGAATGGAGAGAATATACACTGTATATTCCATAGATTGCTATGCTTCATGTAACGATAAAACAAAAAACATTAAAAATATTAGAAGTACCTGACAGTTGAATAGTCAAGACATTTTGTTATGGCCAATGATAGCATAAAACAGAGTGAAGAGACAGCAAATTCAGGCTGTTTAACTGAACCGTCAGAGGCTAGAGCAAGAAATGTAGTTGAATAAGTTCTTGTGTTTTACAAAGCTCACAGCTCGAAGGTTACCCGTCAAACAAAAGTGCATTGTGCACAGCCTGAGGCAGAGGGTTTTAGTTTGGCAAAACTGTATTCAGCTCTGCAAGGTCTAAGTGTTTTCCCACTTCAGACATGTGAGAAGTTTTACACCAAAACCCCCAAAATAGCTTCATTTTAATAAGGTTTAATTTGTAGCAGGTTTGATATATTAAAGGTAGTGTTTTTAACTGGAGTTTTTTCAAATAAGTTTGTGCTGAGGAGTTTGAAAAGTATGGTGCAGACTAGCAAAGTGAAACAGGGTCTAGCATTTGATATTTTAACTGTTGGTGAGGTTACACACCATGAAACAGACGCATCAGCCATTTGCATCCATCTACATTACATGTACAGCCACCACTGTGGTATGCAGGTGCCATTCAAATCTCAATGCACTTTGAAATAATTAATCAATTCTCTCTAAAAACATGTAATGTTCATTACACTACACAATAAATCTATATCATATTATATCATATTAGCTTTGTTTATCTGAGATTAAGGACACTAATGTGATATTAAAAAAAAAAAATCACAATTACAAATCTCTGGTTACCTGGAAAGCTCCTCTTTCAGATGTTGAAACAACACCCCCAGGTTTAAAATAATCTTCAAAAACCAAAATGCCTTAACTTGCCAGTAGTATTTCAGATTAAGCCCAATCACATCTGAGTCTAGTTTTTCACCACCTCATTTTGGACAGCTGAGTCTGACTTGCTCTGCTTCTGCTGAGAGCTGCCACAACACTAAAATGTTCTGTGCTCATTTAATACAGGGGGAATGATGTTTGGAGGCAGATTTGTTATAAAATGTCCTTATGTCTGGTGCCAATCATGGGTGCTTGCATACAACAAGAATCTAGTTATCTGTACTGGACACTAGAATGAATAATTTCCCAACTTAGGCAAGGCTACTTTTTTGTTTTTTAAAGTCCTTGCCTCTCAAAACAGTACTTGGCACCAAACTGTGAAAGGAAAGACAGAACATTGTTGCATTAAAGGAAGACTATTGTAGTCTGTAAAAATTGTTCACCGATGAAGTTTACTGCATGTTATAAATGCTGAAATTAAATGCCAAGTACAATGGGAATTTCAGCCAAACACTGTAGGCTAGCTGAGCCTTTATAAGCTGCTTGCAGTTACAGATCCTTTTAAAAGGCCAGCCAGCCAGTTTCCCAGCACCTGTTGGTCAGACTGGGGAGGTCACCAATACCCCTCCATTACCTCTTGTCTGCCAGGTCAGTTTTATTCCCCACCAACATGATGATGACATCACTTCCTCTCTCTGTTCGAACATCATCAATCCACTTGGAGGTTTGCTGGAAGGAGTTCAGGTCTGGGGGCAAAAGAGAAGATGAACCATGAGGAGGACAAACTTCTTTCACATACACGGAATGAAGCTTCCAGAAAAGACTATAATAAAGCTAGCACGGCTGTGCCCACATACTCTGGCACATCCCCAACACTGAATAAAAAAGGGAACAGATCTAATTGTTTCTAATGTTAACCATCTTTCTATAAATACTCACAGCCACTATGTAATAGCCCCTCTCAAGCGCAGTATTTCAAACACAAGACACCAAAGCATCACTCACTTGTAATGTCATAGACTACCACAGCAATGGTGGAGTCGCGGATGTAGCTGGGAATGAGGCTGCGGAACCGCTCCTGACCTGCTGTGTCCCAAAGCTGCAGCCGAACCTGCTGGTACCAGGCCAGGGAGAGCAGAGAGCAAGAGAAAGAAAAAAAAGGAGGAAACTGTCCTTTAGAGAAAAGGCTATTTGCTAAAATGAACCGATCACAGCTCAGCCTGAGGACTGAAGCCTGGCCTCACCAACCAGCCCCCATATACCCACAAAGCAGTGAAACTAGCTCCTCAGTTTTCCCCAGACAGTAGGCAGACTCCTTTTAATTCCCCACCCCACCCCCAATCTTCCTGGAAGCCCTGCATAGGTCCCTCACTCCAATGAGCTCTGCATTGTGGTGACCACCCACGGTAGCCAGTGCTGTTTAACACTCGGAGGTAGTAAAAGCAAGCCACAGTTGGCCTTCCCCCTCCCAGGGCTGTGTATGCTGCTTCCACAACACCCCTAGCCTAGAGAGACAGAATCTCAGAATGGAGCCCTCTGTGCAAGTCATGTTCATTCTCAATGAATGGACAAGGTAGTGAAATGGCATCCAAATTCTCCTCAGCATCAAACACCCACAAAAGGACAATTGGAGCTTTTGTGCAAGATGAAGCCAGTCATCAACTTGGTCAAGAGGTTTCAGCAAGGACAAAAGCACCTGCTGTGAACTCTAGCTTACAGAAGGCATTTGATGCTCTCTTCCCAGAAGGCATGAAAGACAGAAACAAGCATCAATTCCTGGGTAAGAGGAGGGTAGCTCAGTCTCTAACAGAGAAGCCATACTTACTCTTTCAGAACACCCCAAGTAGGAAGGAAGCCAGAGACACCAGAACATATCAAGGTACTTTCCCCTCCCTTGCAACCCCAGGAGGTTCTTTGGTAGATGTCAAAGAACCAAGTCATTATGCCTGACAGACCAAGACCTATTGGTATGAAATGGCAGTCATAAAACAAGGCATCCAGGTATTACAGTAGCCAGTGCTGGATAAGAGCTTTCAGTAGCTTCACACCCAACTGCCTGTTTCCCCTCACAAGAGCTGCCAATTAGTTCTTTGCAGCATGAGCACTGTTAAATAGGCTGAAGGGAAGAAAATGCTAATATTGGCATTACCAGCAATCCCATTCACTGTGAGGGAAGATACTCCTGGAAAGGCTACAATTAGACTAGCTGATCTGGTTGTGTAGGCTCACAAAGGCTACATGGACAATTCAGCAATATGGGACAGTGGTTTTCTCTGGCTGAAACACCTATCAGTGTGGTAGCTACACCAGCTACAATTTATAAAAGAAGTCCCAGGGCAGATTGGTCATTTCTTTTTAGGAAAGAGACTTGTTCTTAAGTAGATGCTTTAGCAGAACACTTCCCTTTAAACATCCTGCCATAAACAAATTCAGACTAACACAGTACCAGTATTAGAATCCACTCGGTCCTATGGCTTGAGGAACCCAGGTCTAACTTGAAGTGATTAGCTCTCAAATGAAGTGTTCTCCCCTTTTAAGTTTTTTGCTAGCATGGTCAGTTCCCCACAATGCCAAAGAAAATCCAGAAAAGTGAATCCTTGGCCCTTCGCTACACACAACAATAGTGCTGGTGCTGCAGGTTTCTAACAACAACCTTGAGCTCCTACACCCTATCTTCACAATGAGTCTCTATGGTGGACCACAAGGAGCAACTGCTAACCAACTCCCATTCACTATAAATGCCTAATCAAAAAGGTGTTTAAAATGCTCCAAACTCCAGCCTCTGACTCAAAAGTATACCAAAAGAGTGCACCATTGAATAGAAAGCAGAAGGCACGGGCTGGTACTGCAGAGATCCTGTTCTACTGAAGTATCATCACTGCTTATAAAAAATGGTAACCACTGAACTAACGGGCAGGCATTTTCCAGACATTGCAAGTCTGGGCAAGTATAAAAATGCACCAATACTGAGCCAAGGGTGCTCAACCACATAAAAAAAAAAAAAACCAAACCAATCCTGATAAAAAAAAAAAAAAAAAAAGAAAAAAATATGGGGGCAAAAACTGTTAAAAAAAAAAAAACCAAACCAAACCGAATAAAAAAAAAAAAAAAAAGAGGAAAAAATTGAGTTGCAATACTGTATTAGTTTCCAAAAGTGAAACCTGATGCTCAGCCACTTCTGGGCAGAGGAAGTACCACAAAAACTCAGGTAGGACACTTTTCTAAAAGGTGTTGTCAAAAATCCTCCTTCTTGCTCCAGAAGAAAAGATCCTTGTTCAGGCCTTGCTCTCACCCAGTGTAGACTGTGGTACACACAATTTTATTGTAGTGTACTAAAGCAGGCTAAGACTTCAGAAGGAAGTCCTGTTATGGAGGAAATTGATCTGCTTGAGCATAAAGATCCACAAAATCCAGCTGTCACCCTTGACTTACCAAAGATGGTCTAAGGTGACCAGATCAACTGAAGGTGACACTAGGGTGGAATGAAAATACACTTATGTTCTATGTGTGTGTGTGTGTGTGTGTGGGAAAGACAGCTAAACAGATATATGGCCTTCACCACCACCACTCACCTTCCATTGTGATCAGGGGCTGTGCAAGGGTAATCTTTTATCCCAAGGCCAGACAGGTATAGCTCAGAGTCCGCATGCAATTCCCACGTGCAAAGAACAAGCTGAATAGCATGTTTTGCCCCTGAAAGTACTCATCCCTGGAAGGGTGCAGAGAAGAAAAGTGCCACTACAGACTGTGCACTCTGTCGCTCAAACACAGATACACCTGTTCCCAGTATATATTCCCCTCTATACTAAAAATCCTCCAAAAGCTATGCATGGTGAATGGAGCCTTAGATACACATTCCAAAGCAGGGCATGCTTGGGACTTTGAAGGCCGTTTAACCACTAGAAACTCAGAGGTGTAATCAAATAAAAGGATACGTATTAACATTCCACTGGCCCAGATTCTCAGAACATTGTACCACCCCCTCCAATTTAAAAAATAACATGCAAAAGAAAAATTCCACTGCTTAGTTTTTATTTGGGCTTTTTCAACATGGCATTGTACTATCTGTATAACCCTTCTGCGTGGACATTTATTCTACTCTTTTGGCTACCCTATAGATCAGCATTTCTTAACCCAAGGGTCACAAGAATATATGAAAGGGTCGCAAACCAACTTTAAAATAGATTAACAGACTTTTAAAATGGATTCTCCTTTAAAGGAGAAAAAATGTGGGAAACTGTGGCTTTTTCCTTGCAGGCTGAGTTCCAGCCTGCCTGGGGGCACCCTTGCTCCTCACACACCCTCCCACACCACACACTGTGGAGCTGGGAGCAGTGGGTCAGGAGTGAGGTGCACTGGGTCAGGGTTGGCCACTGATGTTTACAAATGAGTCCTGGTACAAAAAAGGTTGAGAACCACTGCTATAGGTAATAGAAGTACCAATATCAAAATAAGTGGTATGACTAGAGCAAATTAATATCTTAGTTTATGTCAAGAACTGCTATGCAGCCCTAAGTTTTGAATGATAGAGACCATCTGAACAATCAGCATTTTCACCTCAAAGTTTTTATTTCTTAGAAATAAAAACTGTAATATGAAAGTCTTGTTCTTCCTTTTCACCAAAGTGGATGTCTGAGCAACTCAGGTATAAATTGTGAGCTTAACTCCTGAATGCTCAGACAAGTTATAAATTAGTCTTTTCTCTTATTGTAAGCAAGCAGGTATCACGCAGTTTTAAAGAACGTGAAAAAGTTACTTTTCTACCCCCCCAACCCCAGTCAGGTTTTACCACCTGTAGGGGTGCACCAATAAAGATTTTTCTCGCCGATATCAATGGCCGATTAACCAGCCATATAAGCTGATACCAATCCGATTGCCAATATGCAGCCCGGCAGCTTGGAGAGCATCTGGCTGGTAAGTCTCGGGGGGGGGGGGGGGGGGGGGGGTGCGGCCCCCATGGTGAGGTAGGGATTGGGGCTGAGGCAGGTGCTGCAGAGTTAGGGCAAGGCAGGGTGCAGGACAGAGGGGCAGCTCCCACCACTGGGCACACCCCCATAGGAGGCAGGCAGGGGCCTGTCCCCCCCAGATTTTTAGATGGGGCAAGGACAGGCTGGCCACTGCAGGCTCGGGGCCAGGGGCTCCGCTGGCCTTTTCCTGGCGGGGGAGGGGACTAGGCTAGGGCTGTGCTCAGGGCAGGCGGGGGCAGGGCATGCAGTACTGGTGCTGGGAAGGGGGCTATGGTCACCCCAAAATTCACCCCCCAGCCCCATGTGCAAATTCGGGGTGCACATGCCGCCCCCCTCCCCCCTCCCCGTCTGCCCCAGGAGTGCGCACAGCAGCAGAAGCCACTCCCTGCTCCCCTGGGCAAGCTGCCCACAGCTCTGCCCCACACCCCATCCTGCCCCAGCTGGGTAGTGCCTGCCCCTGGCCCAACCCCACTCCCTCCCTCCCTCACTGTGAGGGCCTAGATCTGTCCCCACCACACCTCTCCCTCCCCCATGCTCCTTCCTCACCACAGACTCACCAAATGCTGCTCTCCATGCTGCTGAGCTGCATTCCTGGCTGTGTGCATGTTGTGGCTTTTATTGGTAACATCAGCCACATTGGCCAAAAAAAGCTGATCGCCACTAATATCAATTTTCCTTTTATTAGTGCTGATATGATATGGACCAATATATAGGTGCACCGCTAACCACCTGAGTATCTATCATTATTCCTACTAGCTCTTTAAATGTCCAGCACACAGAAAACCTATATTTCTAATATAAAATGAAGCAGAAGAGGAAACAAGTGTATTTATACCACAGAAAAAGAAGAGGGTATAAGTCAATTCACTCTTCTATCCATCCTTTGCAAATCCCCTTTAAGGTTTGAGTTCTGAGGAGGAAGGCATTAGGAATTCCCCATACAGCCTAGACGGAGATAGATAAAGAGACTTGGGCTACCACTCCCCAGTGACAGCAGCTTCAACCACAAAATATCTGCAGGCCTCTAGCTGCGAGTCTATTCAAGCTCTCTTGGAAGCTAGACATTTCCAAAAGCTTAGCTATGCCTTACACAGTTAAAGGGTACTTGTTTGAAGGAGGGCCCCTGCTGGGGGTCAGGCTCTGTACGTACTTGTAATGTCAAAGACAATGACAGCAACAGCAGAATCACGGATGTAGCTGGGAATGAGGCTGCGGAACCTCTCCTGGCCGGCTGTGTCCCACAGCTGCAGCCTGATCTGGGAAATGGAAGAGCATGGAGGAAAGGGAATGGGAAAATAGAAACAGAACAAAACCAAAACCCAAGTGAAATTAGAAAAAAAAAAAAAATTTGCAAAGCAAAATAAATAAATAAATATCAATGCAAAAGAAAGTTAAAATGGAACAAAAAATGTGAAAAAGCCAAAAGGTCCCCCTCTATCCCAGCCTTGTAGGAAGTCCAGCCCAACACAACAGCAAGCCTCACCTTCCACCTCCATACAAGCCTGTTCTGTCTCAAACATACACAGCTCTTCTAACTACATACACCTATCTACTTCACTGCATCCTAACAAGTCGGGGCTCCAGGCTGAGATAGAGAACAATACCTGCTGCTGCCCACATACAGTTGCATGAGGTCACACCTAATACTTCAGGATTAGTGCAACCTGCTACAGACTAATTCAGTATGTAGCCTGCTACAAAGTGCCAAAGCATGATATTCGAGCCCCCAGCCCAAATACCAATGAAGGTATCTGGTAACAAGCTAGGAGAATAAACACCTCCAAACGGGCTGATCTTACACTTGAATCCAGCCTCTTGGGGAAAAGTACTGAAGCAGGGGAAGAAAGTATCCTCCAGTATCCCAGCCTGTGATCATAGCTGTGACATGCAGCCTTGTCTCCCAGTGACAGGCACTCATTAAAGGGATGGGCAAACAGGGTTCCTCAAAACTCCATTTCACTTGTTGCTGCATCTCCCAGCAAGCAACCAGTTACACACTGCACTACACAGTTAGTTCTGTGAATGATAAGTGCAGGCATCAGCCCCTCCAGACAGTTTTATTTTTTCTACTGGCAGGTACAGGCAAGCCAATTTACAGCTCATAGACCTGGCCCAAGGGCAGCCTGAAGGGAAAATAAAAAAGACCAGGAAACTATATGGCAGATCAATCTGCAAGCAAAGCCATGTCATGGTTCGCTCCAAGCATAACAGTCAGAGTCTTGGCTCAGCTATAGCTGGTACCAGATTTTCCAAGGCCTGGTACGAAGAGGTATGGCAAACACAGCCAGGTATTTCAGCCCGAGTGCAGACATTTCTCCTTCACAGTCTCATCTACATTCAGGATCTCTGTCCCTACTTAACAGGCTTTCTGGGCCTCCAGTTGCCCATTTACATGGCTGAGAAGGCTAAGAGTACAGTTCATGTCAGGGAAAGACACCTGGGCCTTTTCTTCTCTACCAAAATGGACCTCAGAACAGGTCAGGTTCTGATTTGCTGATTGTGTGTGTAGTACAGAGTCTTCCACAGCCACAAGAGTTAAGGCTCACCCTACAAACAAAAAAACCCATTGTTCTAAAGGTCTTGGTGCCGCAAACTGTATTGACTGGTCAAATTTTAACTTGCAGTTATTCCAACTTGCCTCCAGAAGTAGGCCCAGCACAGTTACATATGCCTGTTAGCTATTCTCTCCTACTGCTGCTAGTATAACAAATGAGAGCATGACAGTTGGTATAGTCAAGACAGATATATGCACTTACTCCTTCATGCAGGAGGACAAAGGAGGGTTTCAATTCTCAGCTATCTCTCTTTGAGGTCACACCAGGTCCACTGGGCTGAGAATATCAGAGGCACCTGTACCAGTGCTGCATAGACCAATAAGTTTAGCAATGCACTGCACTACTGAGGAGCAGCAGGGGCAAGCCCCAAAGGGAGTTCCATCCTGCTTACCCACTCTTAAGCATCCACATGAAGCACTGCCAAAAAACAGATACTAGGAAGAAGCATGAAATGAGACCTGGGCCCCTTTCTAGGCCAACACTTAACTGTATTGCATCACCAAGGCTTTCCTTCCTTGACTGTCTCTATTCAGATGTACACTGGAGTGATGCTAGTATGATAGATTAGTATTACACCAATTACAGATAAAGATACCTACCCTGAAAAGGAGCGGCTTTATTACCTGTGAAAATCTTGAACAACTTCCCAGAGCAGAACCACTTAGATCAGTTCCAGAGGCAGAAGAGCAACTACTGACAAGAGTTATGCCTATGATGCATAAAGAAGCTAGCCCTTTCCCCAAGGATATGGATTAGTTAGCTTGTCCCAATTTTGCATGAACACCTTTTGACAGGAGACTGGACCAGTGGTTTGATCCAGCACTGCAAGAAACTGGATTCTACACAACCCAGCATGACCATGTCGGGGAATTCCCATTAAAAACTGTCGTGGGTCTGAAGAAACAGCCATCGTAAAACAAATAATACAGGCACAGAGCTGATACTTGGGCAAATGCTGCTCCTGTAACTGCAGGTGCCAGGTTACTTGCAACAATTCCTCACTCACCGTGCGGTCTTCTAGATACATGGTTTTTGACAGGAAATCAATGCCAATGGTTGCCTAAAAAGGAGAAAAAACAACTTAGTAACCTGCAATTATACTTCTAATCCCCGTTTAGGAATCTATGATTTCCAATGACAAAGAACCTTCATACACTTACAACTGAAATTGTTCAGCTACATTTTCCATCAATTCAATTACTGGAGGAAAAAATCAAGCCAACATTACCAACCCAGGGGGATTCAGGGGGGACTAGAGTCAAGTTTCAGGGGGTCGGACTCGATGATCTATTGAGGTCCCTTCCGACCCTAACATCTATGAATCTATGAACCCCACCAACATCACTTTGCAGGCTTCACCATCAAAATGCCATCACACTCCTTTTGGTTCCAACATTTTCACCATGACATAAGCACTTCCTCGTCCAAAATTAAAGCATCTTGCCAGAGTGACTTGTAGAGAAAAAAAGGCTCCTTATGCAGAAATAACTCCAAGGCCAAAGAAAAGATTGTTAATATGACTGAGGAGCTGGATGCCAATTGTGGATGGCTGTAAGCTGAATCACACTTAAGTTTGGCAGCAAAGTCCCTCGCTTGCCTGGTAATGTACAAACAAGAGCTCTAAGCTAAGACTACAATTCCCTCTATAGTGCAGGTTAGAAGCACTATTTCCCAGGCAGCTTGCTTTGTAACATTCCTTCCTTCCATACAGCTCTCCCCCAGGTACAGCCACTGTATAAAGTCCCCTGCATATGGGGACATTCAGAGACTGACTTGGTCAGGTAAAAGATCTGTTAATATTTCCTAGACACTTATCCTAAGTAGGTTCCTTTATCCAGAAGAAGGCTGTGAAGACTAGTTATGACTCAACAAGTTGTAACCACTGGGTTTTAGACAGGTTTTGCTGCAGACAACCCTAGTGCCTTTGTAGTGAAAATCCTTCTTGATGTCTTGGCTTCCCTATGCTTTTTGTACTGTCCCAGTTCTAAGACTGTCTCTTATTATTCCTTTTATTTTCATTAGGCAGATCCTCATACCTCCCACCACCCAGCTTTCTGTTGGGGTCTCAAAGGACCTCTTCCTTCCTACACTCTCTTACTGTATGAGATTATCCAAACAACTTCAACTATCATTATACTATCAATATACAGCTCTACCTCTCCACTCTGGGCCCATCCTTCTGCCAAAACTAACATTTTGACAGTTTTACCCAGGCACCTTGGACTAAAAACAATTCTTATTCTTTTTTCCTTCATCCACTCGAGCTCTCTTCCAACCATCCTCTCAGTCACCCTGAGTGTTCTCTTCTTCACTATTACTTGGGTCCTTAACCCAGTGGCAACTTCAGTCTGTCCTCAAGATCCTTACATCCAGGTGGTATTTTTTTATTGGACCAACTGTACAGTTGGGAAAGAGATAGACAAGATGAATTATGGAGGAGGAAGTGTACTGGTATCCAAAACTTTATCTATATGCCTACCACAGAATTCCTTACCTCTCACATTTTTCCTGGCCCATCATGGTTACAACATCACTCCAACACTATCCAAATCCCTCCCACTTCCACCCCCCCATGCATGACCTCCATGACCTGACCTTCCCTTTCCAGCTAGACATGGAGTCCTATCATCCAGGCTCTTATCTTACATCTTGCCCATTACAAAACCCAGGTCTTTGGGTTGATTTAATTTAATATTGCTTCATTTACAGCAGGGGCGGGCAAAATGCGGCACACAGGCCAGATGCAGCCCGCCAGGCCATTCTATCTAGCCCGTGGGGTCCCTAAAAAATGTACAAAATTAATATATATCTGCCCCTAGCTGCCTGTCATGTGGCCCTAGATGGCTTGCCAAAACAGTAAGCGGCCCTCCGCCCGATATAACTGCCCCCCCGATTTACAGGTACTGAAAATTCCACTGCAAAGATAGATCCTTCCACAACAGCTGCAATCCTCCTGCCTCCCACTAGTTACCCAATCTCCATCATGCCAATCTACTTGTCAATTTGAAAGTATATCACAGACTCTTAAATGGTGTTGAGCCAACACCTCATGAAAGGTAGGGGGTAAAATGTGCCCAGCTGACATTTCATGAAGGAAGTCTTGTCAAATGAAGAATTTTGGTAAAGACCAATGTTCGCCAGGATCCCACTCACCTGATAAGTGTTGTCAAAACTGTCATACATAAACCTGGTGATCAGGGATGTCTTTCCAACTGCAAAAGGAAAACACACATGCTATCACTTTCTAGCGGCAGCAGAGCAACAAGTGGTACCATGACCCTGCACAGTGCCTGTCCCAGAGCATAATTCATCGAGGCAATAAAGCTTCTAATCCTACAGTTACTTTCCCAGTTGTGTCCTTCATCTGGCAAGATCAGTCTGTTTCCAATGTAAAGACTTGATAAAGATCCTGGTCACAACTTGGCAAAGGCTTTTAATACTACGTGGACCTAACATAACAGTGTCCTTCACTCGGTTATATTTACGGTATAGATGACACTCAAGATGCATCAGTTTTGCTCATCCGAGGCAAAAACACCAAATCCACCTAAGTTATTAACTAACAGTATTGTTATGGCACATAAGACCCCTTATCGTGGTAAGGGGCTCATTCTGCACAGGGCTGAACACGCACAGAACACAAAGGGTTTTCATTCTGGTCTGTAAAGACAACCATGGATACTAATGAAAGATTTCAAGGAAACACTGGCCTCAGCCTGGCAGTAACTGACTGCCATCAACAAAATGGCAGCACAAAAAGAATTTTTAGAAAGGCTTTGTCAGTAATTACAAGAGCTTCCAGGCAGCTTTTCCCTAATGTTTTTCCCATGAAAAACTTCTCCACAGTGAGGGTGGCCAAAATTTGGAATGGGCTTCCAGGGGAGATGGTACTCTCCCCTACCTTGGGGGTCTTTAAGAGAAGGCTGGATCGGCATCTGGCTGGGGTCATTTGACCCCAGCGCTCTTTCCTGCCGAGGCAGGAGGTCGGCCTTAATGATCTGTTGAGGTCCCTTCTGACCCCAAAATCTCTGAGTCTATGAACATAAGGGGCTGCGTAGGAGAAAGAATAGAACAAGGGGGCAGGAGACCGGTGGGTATCTCAGCCAGGGCTCCACATCTCTCATATGCTGCAGAAACGATCAGCTGTAAAGGGTCTGAAAGCAGGGAAGCAAGTTTAAAATGACCACGAGGAGGTCCTTCCTCCCCAGCTGTCATTCAAATGCAATATCTGCTGCCACCCAGTGCGGTGGAAGCTCAGAGCAGAGCCAGGTGCAAAAGAGCTTACACACTCCCAGAGGAATGGGGCATCGGGAGCGAGGGGCATGGCCCTGACTGAGGCCATCCCGGGGGAGGGGAACGGGGGAAGAGGCCCCTGAGCAGAGCCAGGCCCTCTGTCGCCATTCACTCCCCGCCCCGCCAGACGCAGGTGTTTTGTGTGCGAGTCCGACGGGGATTAAGGCGGCAGCCACAGGGGAGGCCACGTGACGGCGCCAGGCCTCGGCCGGCGACACCCGCTCGGGGCCGCGCTGCGAAAGGCCGATCCCCGGGGCGGGCAAAGCCCCAAGTGCTCCGAAGCGCTGACGGGGAAAGGGAAGGCGCCTGGGGAGCGCAGCGGCCGGCAAGACGCGGCAGAGGCGGGG